TTCTTGTGCAAGAACACATCCACTCTTCCATGTGCGAGCTGTGCTTTTGCACAAGAGCATCTATGGCAGTGTGGACACTCTCTCGCCCAAGAGAGTACCGATGGCCATTTTAGCCATAGGGCTTTCTTGCTCAAGAAATTCATGTTGCCTGTCTACACTGGCCTCTTGCGCAAGAACAGTTGCTCAAAAGGGCTTATTCCTGAACTTGCACAAGAACACACGGCCTGTGTAGACAGGCAGCAAATTTTTGCGCAAGAGCGGCCGCTTTGGTGCAAGAACAGCCAAGGGGAGGGAGGAAGGCAGGGGCAGGTTATCAGCGCTGGCTCAGCATGTCTACATGGTTTGAGGGGAAGGTGCAGGGAAATTGAGCTCAGCTGGGTTGCACAGTGGGGAGGGGTGGGTGTAGAGCTCAGAGTTCAGTTTGGCTGCAGGAGGGAGGTGCAGGGAACCGGGGTAGACTCGAGGGAGGTAGAGAGGGAGGGGCATGAAATCAGAGCTGGGCTCCGCAGTTCTGCCGGGCTTGAGGGGAGGTGCAGGGAAATGGGGCTCAGCTGTGCTGTGGGGGAGGCATGCAGGGAACCAGTGCAGGGCTCAGCTGGGCTGAGGTGGATGGGGGAGGGCATACAGAACAGACGGGCAGCTCAGCTGGGCTGTGAGGGGCTGCAGGGAACAGGTGCTGCACTCCCTTGGATTGTGAGGGATGGGTTTGGGGGAAGTGCAGGGAACCAGCAGCGGTGGGCAGCTTAGTTCGGTTGCAGGGGTAGAGGTGCAAAGATGCCTAGTGGGGAAGGAGGGAGGAGGACCAGGAGCCCTGAAATGACCTCCCCTGGTCGAAAAATTTCTCATTTGGGACCAGTCCGGTCTAGAGGGTGCCAGATCAGGGAGGTCCAACTCCTACCCAAGTCCCCTCCTTGCACCCTCCCTCATAGCCAGACACCCTACATCCAGCCTGCTTCTGCATCCTACCTACCACCCAGACCTTGTCCCCTTCCGCCCCCCAGCTCCCTCCCAGATCCTCCCATCCTAACGTGCCTAACGTAGTGTGCCTAACGTAGTGAATACAAGCAGAGAGAGGGTAAGTTTAGAAGATAGGATACACAAAGAACAAGTTAAAAGTCACTTAGGAAAGTTAGATGTCAGCAAGTCACCAGGTCCTGATGAAATGCATCCCAGGATACTCAAGGAGCTGATAGAGGAGGTATCTGAGCCTTTAGCTATGATCTTTGAAAAATCATGGCAGACAGGGGAGATTCCAGAAGACTGGAAAAGGGCAAATATTGTGCCCATCTATAAAAAGGGGAATAAGAACAACCCAGGAAACTACAGACCAGTCAGTTTAACGTCTGTCCCAGGGAAGATAATGGAGCAGGTAATTAAGGAAATCATATGCAAACACTTGGAAGGTAATAAAGTGATAGGGAATAGCCAGCATGGGTTTATGAAGAACAAGTCATGCCAAACTAATCAGATAGCTTTCTTTGATAGGATAACGAGCCTTGTGGATAAGGGAGAAGCGGTGGATGTCATATACCTAGACTTTAGTAAGGCATTTGATACGGTCTCGCATGATATTCTTATTGATAAACTAGGCAAATATAACTTAGATAGGGCCACGATAAGGTGGGTGCATAATTGGCTGGATAACCGTAGTCAGAGAGTTGTTGTTAACGGTGCTAAATCCTGCTGGAAAGGGATAACAAGTGGAGTTCCTCAAGGGTCTGTTTTGGGACCCATACTGTTCAATATCTTCATCAATGATGTAGATATTGGGATAGAGAGTACGCTTATTAAGTTTGCAGATGATACCAAACTGGGTGGGGTTGCAACTTCTTTGGAGGATAGGGACATAATTCAAAATGACCTTAGCAAGTTAGAGAAATGGTCAGAGGTAAACAGGATGAGGTTTAATAAAGAGAAATGCAAAGTGCTCCACTTAGGAAGGAACAATCAGTTCCATACATACAAGATGGGAAGCGACTGTCTAGGAAGGAGCATGGCAGAAAGGGATCTAGGGGTCATAGTGGACCACAAGTTGAATATGAGTCAACAGTGTGATGCTGTTGCAAAAAAAGCAAATATGATTCTAGGTTGTATCAACAGGTGTGTTGTAAGCAAAACTCGTGAAGTCATTCTGCCGCTCTACTCTGCACTAGTTAGGCCTCAGCTGGAGTACTGTGTCCAGTTCTGGGCGCCACATTTCAAGAAAGATGTGGAGAAATTGGAAAGGGTACAGAGAAGAGCAACAAGAATGATTAAAGGTCTAGAGAACATGACCTATGAAGCCAGGCTTCATGAACTGGGCTTGTTTAGTTTGGAAAAAAGAAGATTAAGGGGGGACATGATAGCGGTTTTCAAATATCTAAAAGGGTGTCACAAGGAGGAAGGAGAAAATTTGTTCCTCTTGGTTTCTGAGGACAGGACAAGGAGTAATGGGCTTAAAGTGCAGCAGGGGAGGTTTAGATTGGACATTAGGAAAAAATTCCTAACTGTCAGGGTGGTCAAATATTGGAATAAATTGCCAAGGGAGGTGGTGGAATCTCCCTCTCTGGAGATATTTAAGAACAGGTTAGATAGACATCTGTCAGGGATGGTGTAGACAGAGCTTGATCCTGCCTTCTGTAGTGCCCAAAATCCTGTGGGGTTTGCTCATTGTGTGGTTTACCAGTGAATGACTGTGGTGTGAAAGTGGAGATAGGGGGTGCTGAACCTGGGGGCTTATGAGGATGGCAGCTTAAAGTGCTGTTTAATCCAGCCCATGGAGTCCAAAGGCACATGAGGATGCAGTGTGGCATTGCTGTGAAACCCAGCCAGCTGAGTCCAGGGACATATGAGGGGGTCAGCTTGTGAGTGCTGATTACCCAGTCCCCTCAGACGTGCTCTGTTAGTGGGTGTGAGTGTCGGTGTGTGTTGCTAAGGTGGTAAGAACCCCAACCTGAGGAACCTAGTTCCTGCAGGAGAGCTCCAGTGGGAGGGGGAATTGGCAGCAGGGAGAATTCAGCTCCATATGAGAGCACAAGTAGCACAAACAGCACACGGATGGGAAAGGTTAACCTTTCCCCAGTCCCATACGAGTAACCCTGATAAATGAGCATACCCCAGAGTACTGGGCAAATCAAATAACAGTGATGAACAGCCTCAGATAGCCAGGGACAGAGACATATAAAGGTATAAAGGGAAAGCTCTCCTTCACTGCTTATTCTAAGGATAAAGAACCTAGCTCTATATACTATGCCAATTCAGTTATAGCCATTCTCCTGATGTATGATGCACATTATTATATAGCCTGGACCTTTGAGAATATTCTAATCTTTGTCTGTACAAATTAATTCATTTGAAAAAGGTTAAATTACAATATTCATAATGAGGTTTAGAAACAAACTAAGTTCCAGCATATCTCATGTATTTTGGCCCTGGAGGAATGCATTCATTTCAAGGACAATTTTTTGAAAGCAATTTTATTGAACTCCGGGAGAGCAAAAGCTCATGATACCATCTACATGTTCTGTGAGTCTATAAAGTGCTACCAGACCATTTGCTGTTTTTGACTTATTCTTCTGTCACTTTACTCAAATTTCAGCCTGCACTTTTTGTAGTATTTAAATAAAAATTAACCTTTGGGTTGAAATCAATTGGAATCCAAAGGACACTGTTTTGAAAACAGTTGTTATGTAGAGAAAAATAGAGTTAATTGTGAAATGGATACTGCTGTAATTGATGCAACAAGTGTTGATTTACCAGTTGAGGTCTGGTGAAGACATACTAAACTGATGGGAGAGCACTCACCTCTCAATTTCTGTCCTCCACCTCTCCAAGGAGCATAAAGGAAGTCGACGGGAGCCAATGTCCCATCAACACAGTGCAGTGACGATACTGCAGTAAAAAGATCTCAGTGTGTGGACTATATTGGCTATGCTAATTTACATAGCTGAAGTGAGTATCTTAAACCCCGCCACCAGTGTGGACCAGGTCACAATGAGCTCCATCAGCTTCTTAATGACAGACTTTCTTTTTCACACTATTACTATATCATTAGCAAAGGCAGCATCTCCCTTTCATCTGGTCTTTTAAAAGCCAGACATAATTCTACTGAATTAATTGGGAAGCTGAAGAATAACTAGCAAGGAAAAATAAACATCTTTTCCAGGCTAATGTGCTCAGAATTCTGCTGAAACATAACATGACAATATGAAGACTTTATTCTTTTATATTCTGTTACACGTTATCTTGGTTTACTAAAGTAAGCCAGAATGAAAGGGCTCAGATTCCTGTAGTAAATTGGTTGTAACAGTTATGGGTATTGGCTAAAGATATCATGCAACTGCACCCCGCCCTCTGAAACTCTCACCCCCATCAAGGAGTATCTTGCTTGGCAAGCAGTTACAAAATGAAATAGGATTGCCTGCGGAAAAATAAAACTACTCAACATAAGGGTGGCAGAAATGGGGCCTTAATGAAGAACATGTTGATTGCAACAATCAGAGGCAGAGTTTGAAAATAAAATTATGATCACACATGGAAAGTAACACAAGTTACTTGAGTACATGAACCTACAGCTGTAAGAGAATCCTGATTTCCAAAGTGTTCAAAAAAAATGTACCAACTCACCTTCATTGTTTTTAGCGAAGTTTAGTTTGATGAGAGATTTGGCATCTAGTTTCTAAGGGATAAAATATGGAAAAATTAATCATGGTTATCACTGACCTCAGAAGTAAGAGTACCATGGCATTAATAAAGCACGTTATTATTACACTGACTGCATCATCATTAATATTCAATCACTGTTATTTTATCACATTAACCCTCAGAAAACACTCTCATTAGCCTTGAGAATAGGGAGGCACATTATTGTATTGTAGCTTGATACAGTATTGTCCCAATACAAATATAATAAACCTGAGATGAAATCATTCATTTTATACTTTGCTTCTACACAAATTAAAAAGGGGGTTAGAATGCAAAAATATGGGGTAATAACTTGCAGCAAATAATATACTAAAGGCTATTCTTGTGATTAAAAGTTACAACTCTGAAAGGCATTTGTAGCAAGCAAATTATTTTTGGAATTACATTTATTATTTTTTGACCAAAGTAACTATTGTTTATCTTTTGTTTTAGCAGACTGTATGTTAACTCTCATGCTACCTAGCAAAACTTCAGAAGTAACAAAGAAGGTTGGTGTGTATTCCTTGGAAATATACATTTTTGGTTTTAAAATGTTTTAATGTAGCTGAGATCAGAA